CTACATGCACATGCCGCCCCAAATCCCCAAAATGGGCGCCAAAACCCGCGTGGTACCCGCGTACGGGCCCGCCAAATTTTTTTAGGATCAGTTTATAACTCGGGGATCTGAGAAGCTAGAACGCTGAAATCTTGGGGTAGCGTTCCCCGCCCAAGCGGGTATTAGTGGGCTCAAACCCAGTCCCCGGGTAAGAGTGGTACCCGCGCACGAGCCCGCCAAAATTTTTTTCGTGTTAATTGAAAACTCAGTTAACTGAGAAGCTAAAAGAATGTAATTTTAAGAGGATATACCCCGTCCACCTAAGTTTAAGTTTCATTTTAAGTTTCATTCAGCTCGAACCCAGCTCTCAGTTATGCTTGGTAAACATGCACGGGCCGTGAAAATTTTGTTCCAGTAAGTTGCTAACTCAGAGGCCACGGAAGTTAGAATTTTAAGGGGGTGTTTCTTGACAGTTCTGGCGGCCAGTCTTAATTTATTTAGCTAAAAGCACTTGCCAAAAAAATCGGTGCCGGTAGCAACAAAAACTGCGGGGAACTACGCAAAAAACGCATCTTCGCGCGGGCAGCCCGTGCATTGGCCAATTATTTGTATATAAATATCATATACCTAGCTCTGATCATCTCTCTCCACTTGTAAAGCACTTTGAAAAACAAAATGCGGAAAATCGTGTAAAAATTTCGGATCTCCTTCAGGTCCTCAGTAAGCTGTGCGTGCAGGAACAAGATAACCAAAAATGTCTTAGGGCCCTTCTACGGGAGAACAATGAGATCAGAAGTGACCTCTCGCACCTGTGTGCACAGGTCAATAGTCTTCTCGCATAAGTCGCGCGGCATCCCACCATCAATCCAGAGGAAGAGAATAGAATTGAGCAATATGCTCAAGACCTTCCTCAGCGGCGCCAAGCTGCTCGCAAAAATTGTTCAACACAAGAAGAATCATGCACTGCACCCACTGCAACCGCTGCACCAGTTATATCTCCTGTCCAAGACGGGGACACTAACATGCTTACTAATGATGCTCGCATATATATAGCGCCGTTCAGCGGGGATGGGACTGTACCATTCTCAGACTGGCTCTTAAAATTCAACGACTATGCGGAAGGGCATATTCCACTCTGGTCCAACGAGACGAAAGCACGCAAACTACCGCTTTACCTCGGACTGCCGCGCCAGCAATACAAATCCTTCACGGAAATAGAAAAGAGTGATTTCAACAAAGCGGTAGAGAGGCTTTGTGCCATTTATAAATCACCTGCGCAGCGAGACATTGCTAGACAAAAACTTTATCAGACTTATCAGCGTGACCCTGAGTCTCTGCAT